TTATCTGTCCTTCCCTCCCATGGCATCCCCGTCCCTTTTCTGCTCTCCCCTGCCCTCCGGGAGCCGCCCGGCCTGTCCCGTGTTCGGGCCCTCAGACCCTCCACCCGCCCTTTCTCTCATGAACGAGCACCTGGACATTAGCTGTGAAGGTGGGGAATGCTCTCATCTGACTTGGAGGGGACCCCCCGTGTCCCCCACTTCTCTTCACTGCTGTTCCCGCTTCAAAGACAGAAGGGGCGAGGGGGCTGTAAGCCTGGGAGCCTTTCTGTGCCATGGACCTGTGTGGGGCTTGGGAAATGGCACCAGGAGCCCGGCTCTGGGTGAACAGCCAGGCCCGTGCTCCTCGGTGAAGCCGTCTTCACTTCCCACAGGGAACCGTTTCGCTGGGGAATGTAGGCGACACGGAGCGAATGATGGGGCTGCTGGGGTCCAGCCCCAGCAGGTCCAGGGGTCCCCAAAGGTGTGGACGGAGTTGGCGAAGAAGGAATGACACGGAGGCAGCCTTCAGGTGATCATCATAGCCGGGTTCTCTTGTCAGGGTCTCCAGCCAGGTTCTGTAGCCAGTTCTCCAGCCAAGTTCTGTCTAGGATCTCAATCCTATCAATCTCTATTCCAAAGGTTAGGGCGTTTCTTATCTCCATTCCAGGGAGCAAAGATTATGTAGCTTAAGCATGATTGTTCGTAGTTAAAGTGATTAATTACCCGCCTGGCACTTAGTTAAGAGGTTTTATTCCCTCCCTAACTTCAGGGGAAAGTCCCTACCTGGGGAAACAACCTTTCTCGGAGAGGTGACCTTGGTTAAAACACATAGTGCCAAGAAGGTGAGCAAACATAATATGAACAGTATGCCATATATGCCAGGTCCCTTGAAACAGCAAGGATGGACCGGCTCCCGGCAGGGGGGAAAGCAGGTGGATGCAGCGTTCTGCATAGGGCCATAAACAATTACAACTCAAATCTCGTCAGGGCAGGAGTTCTCAACCTGTGGGTCGCGGCCCCTTTGGGGGTCGAACGACCCTTTCACAGGGGTCGCCTAAAACCATTGGAAAACACACATATAGTTACATATTGTCTTTGTGATTAATCACTATGCTTTAATGATGTTCAATTTGTAACAATGAAAATAGATCCTGCATATCAGATATTTACATGACGACTCAAAACAGCAGCAACATTACAGTTATGAAGTAGCAACGAAAATAATGTTATGGTTGGGGGTCACCACAACATGAGAAACTGCATTAAAGGGTCGCGGCATTAGGAAGGTTGAGAACCACTGCGTTAGGTGAACTTGAGAGCCATTAGTAGACCCTGCCTACGGACTGGGTGACGCGGTGGACTAAACCCAGGGGTGGAGGAAAACCGAGTGGAACGGTCAGATGGATCAAGTGGAGTTCCTGGTAGCTTACATGTCCATGCCTTGTTGGATTTCTCTCTCTCTCTCTCTCTCTCTCTCTCTCTCTCTCTCTCTCACACACTATATGCCAGGTACTCTATCAAGTGATACACACACACACACACACACACACGCACACACACACGGTGAGATGCACGAACAGGAAAGTTGCCTTCCCCCCACGTGACGCACACAGTTCTGCAGGATCAAGTGCGTTCACGTCCTGGGGACCCGGCTCCACCATCATCCCCAGAATGTGTTCATCGTCCCGGACGGAGCCTCTCTGACATGTGACCAGTCATTCTGCCTTCCTCCCCCGGCTCCCGCGCCACCGTCCTACCTTCGGGCTCCGTGACGTCAGCTCCTCTCCCCTCTCCACCTCTGTGTGTCTGTAGGTCTGAAGTGAGTGTCTGTGGCCAGCAGGTAGTTCATGTCATTATGTTCTTTTCTTAGCCCACTCTGCCAGGCCGTGTCTTTACATTGGCGGGCGGGGGGAGGGAGGGTCAGTCTGCGGATGCTGCCATCGCACGGCCACAGCCTGGGCGATGAGCAGGAGACATTCATTTCCTCTCGGCTCTGGAGGCTGGACGTCCAGGAGCAAGGTGGGGCGGGGCTGGTTCTCCCGAGGCCCTCTCCTGGGCTGACAGGTGCCGTCTTCCCCCGCGGCCTCGCCTGGCCTCCCACCTGCGCGTGTCTGCGTCCTCACCTCCTCTCCCTAGCAGGACACCAGGCGTGTTGGAGTAGGGCCCCTTCTAATGACCCCGTTCCTGTGGAACCACTTCTTCAAAGACCCTCTCCAAAGCAGCCGGATTCTGTGGGACTGGGAGTTAAGGCCCCAACATGTTTGTAATATTTTATTGTGTGTGTGGGAGAGAGAGAGGGAGAGAGAGAGAGAGAGAGAGAGAGAGAGAGAGAGAGAGAGAGAGATTTTGCTTCCCCACTTATTTCTGCATTCATTGGTTGCTTCGTGTATGTCCTCTGACCAGAGATCGAACCTGCAACCTTGGCGTCTTGGGCAGACGCTCTAAAACACTGCACCACCCACCAGCGCTAAACATAGGAACTTCGAAGGGGTACAATTAGAGTAGCTTCCATTTACATTCAAAGAAATTACAGCTCAGAAAGCACTCACATTGACCATTTTATGTTTTCTGTGTGTCTTGTAGCTTTCTGTTCCTCGTTTCCACCATTACTATCCCCCTTTGTGTTCAGTTTATTACAATCTTCTCTTTCCCATTTCCTTCTGTGTGTGTTCTGTAGGTTTTCTTTGTGGTTGCCATGGAGACTACACTTACAGAAAACTGCTTTTTTACAGCTTTCCCAACTATTTTATACTATTGTCTCCACAAATTGCCTCTCTAGCATGTGCTTACTAACATAGATTTATGATTATTTTTGTGCATTTGTCTTTACGTTCTGCAGGAAATACAAATGTGGGGCTGCAAGTCACGTTGACAGAATAGCGGGTCTTTAAAAGTATTTCCCTGCGTTTACTTTTACCGGAGAGCGCTGTGTTCCCGTGTGGCTTTGCGTTGGTTATCGGTGCCGTTTAGCATTTCTTAGGGTGTCGGTGACACAGTCATGACCTCACTCAACTTCTGCGTGTCTAGTAGCTCTAATGTTCCTCTCATTTCGGAAGGACCATTTTGCTAGACGCAGAATCCTCAGCTGATGTTTTCCTCTGAGCAGTTCCAGACCTTGCCTCACTGCCTTCTCATCTGCACGGTTCTGGCTGAGGAACCCGCTGACGGTGTCACGGGCATCCCTACGTGTGAGGAGTCCCTTTCCTCGTTCTGCTGCAGGACCCCCTGTCTTCGTCTTTGATGTGTGTCTCGCTGTGGGTCTCTGAGTTTTCCTACGTGGAGTTTGTGGAGCTCCTTGGATTCGTATGTCTATACTTCTCCTCAAGTTTATAGCAGTCCGGCCGTTCTGCACTCCAGTGCACAGTGGACACCTTTGCAGGCAGCCCGATGCGCGTTTCCGCGGGGGTATTTCTGGACATTGCTTTTCCTCTGCCGGGACCCTGCTTTCTTCTCTCCGGGTAGGCCTCGTGCTCTGTTTCATACCCTGGGCCTCTGAGAGACAAAGCTGCCTCTCCCAGGCCTTGCAGGTGGTACGGAGGACTTGTACGAACTCCTGGGTCCCTGGGCCTGGGAACCAGCCGGAAACAAAGACTTCCGATCTTCTCGGGTCTCCCCTGGGCGTGTGTCCGGTCGTCTGTGTGTGTGCTCCCCTGACCCCCTCCCTCAGTCACTTTAAAAGATCTTAATACCCAACAGCCCGCCCCAGCTTCTTCTCGGGGCCTTGGGCATCCTGTTGAATTCTGCCGCCTGCGATTTCCTGCCCAATGGTCCACACGGCGGCCGTCACGGTGCACCTTTGGCGTGCAGGCGGCTCCTCCGTTCATTCCGTGGCGTCTACTCCCATTGCCCATCTGAGCTCCCAGCCAGGCAAGACAGACACCAGTCCCCCAAGCAGCCCGCAGCGGGTCAGCACATGGCAGACAGGTCCTCTCAGCTCCTCTGCCTCCAGCAAGAAAACCAGGACTAGGCTCCTTCCTCCCGCCCGCCCTGCCACATGCCAAGGAAGGTGTGAGGCGGGCCTCGTGAGAAGTCCACGGCATACTCTCCCGTGGACCAGGTGACTGTGGGTTTCCTCACGGGCGTGTGCTGGGTTGTGCTGGGTCTCTGCATGGTGTGCAGAGCACCTACAGCGTGCCTTTGCCTGTGGTTGTCTATTTGATGTTTCCACCATGGAATGAGGGCATGGAGGTTCCTACTCTGACCGCAGCTTGTGGAATTGCTTTGAAATGAAATGGAGAAAAGGCAGTTCTGTCTTTCTTGCCAGCAGCTTGCTCATCTGTTGGCTTGTGGCTCACTTCCGTTCTCTGAGGCTTGAGCGGAGGCTGTAGGAGGGCCTCTGGGAAGAGGCCTCTGAGCTAATAGAGACCCTATGGCTTCTCCTCTGTCCTAGCTTGGAGGGGACACGTTAAATAGGGGGGGCGGGGTGAGTGTTGGAGCGGCAGCCACTCGGTCTAATAAGCAATCGAGTCCTTAAGACACTGTCCTGTGACTGGACAGCACCCCCCCGGGGGACAGACACTCCACGGGCCAGTCAGGAGGTGAATCCGCCCATCTGTGCAAGAAAACCGAAGCTCCCTGAAGTTCAGTGACGAGCGTGTTTGATGGCTCAAGTGTAACAGGCCATTTTATTTAAATATCTGTCGTCTAGCGCTTCATCGATAATGAGCATCATTATTTCCTCCCTGGGGAGCGAGCGAAGTCTTCCTTCTGATAAACTTAGACATCTACCCGGGCAGCTCTCTTTCCTTGTCACTGGAGCCGGCCACAGAGCCAACCGTAATGAGCAAATAATAGAGCCCTTCAGTCCAGAGGAGCTCAAACCAATAAAACGGGACCCTCTCATGGGATGAGGATAAGAATAATCGTTCATTTTATTGCAGCTCAACTGTCTTGATCCTTAAAGAAATAGCATTTTAAGTCATAACTTAAGAACCAAATCTGCCTACTATAAGGGTATTCTCTGGGCATTTCCCCAGTAGCCGCACACAATCATAATATTGTTTCTCTCTCTTCTATTCCAGTGAGTCAGGGAGGTGAAGCCCTCGTCTCCGACATGTGCCCAGACCCGGGGGTTCCGGAATTCGGGCGACGGGCAGGAGCTGACTTCAGGTGGGAGACAAAGGCATGACTTGAAAAGAACGTTATTTTCTAATGCATGAAATGTGAGCTTGCCGTTGCTAATCTTTTTCTTTTCCTTTCGATTTAAAGATACAGCTTCTCCATTATTAGGCAGCTATGTTATTAGTAGAACTCTACGTCTGTGCTGAAAATTCCAGGTGCGCTAGAGTTGCCACCTTTCACTGTATGAACAAATATGAAAAATTAACTCAAAATGTATATAATCAAAATGCATCTCTAGGTTTTTCCCCCGTTTTAATTTCTTCTCATAGTCTAATGCATTTGGGCTAATGTGTAAAAAAAGAAATAGATGGAGAGAAAATTTAACTGCCGCTTCCCAATTATTTCATTAAATAAGCTTTCGTGTTAATGTGTGGAAGTGGCCTGCTGTGCGCCTCATTTGGAAAATGTTATCATTCATTGTATGAGGGTCACGATGACCTGGAGACTGCTTTCCGGTCAGCGCATTATGACTGTGGTCCTGGGAGCAGTGCTGTTGGCTAGGATATTTGCATCTTTTCATTTATTCCAAGAAACTTAAACCTCCCTGGCCAGTGTGGTTCAGTGAACCAGGAAGTCACGGTTCCATTCCCGATCAGGGCACATGCCTGGGTTTCTGGCTGGATCCCCAGTAGGGGGCGTGCAGGAGGCAGCTGATCAGTGATTTTCTCTCATTGATACTTCTATCTCTCTCTCCCTCTCCCTTCCTCTCTGAAATCAATAAAAACATATTTTTTTAAAAGAAATTTAAACCTTTTCAAAATGACTCAAGATAGGAACACATATTAGGAAAAAGCTTCGCAATCAGACACTGCAGGGGAGCCAGAAACTCATTTTTCTTTCCTATTATCTCACTGGTTTTTGAGAGAGAAACAGAAAAGGCGCGCAGCGAGTTAGCCTATGAAGGGAGCTAACAACCGAGAGGAAATAGCGGAGGAAGGGGGACGAGTATCTCATCGGACTCGCTGCCCAGGGGATACTTTCAAGTGCAGTTCAAGGCGTTTTAATCTTGTCTGTCCAACCGGAATGCCTTTTACTTCCTTTGTTGCCCGAAGACACTGGGTGGAGCCTGTGTCACCAGGCGAATAGAGGTAGCGGTGTTCTGGCCGTCTTCCTGATCCTAGGTAGGCGGGCGCATTCCGGTTTTCATCTTCCCGAGCGATTTTAGCGTCACAATTTTTATTGGTTCCTTTCATCAGGTTGAGGAAGAACCCTTCGTGTTTAGGTTATGGGAAGTTTTTAATCTGAAGCAGGTATAACATTTTGTCAAAAGCTTTTCTACATCAAGTGACATGATCTTTTGGTTTATTTGGTTTGTTGATATGAATTACATAGATTTTCCTGACTCTGCACATTGGGGTGAAATTCATTTGGTCTTGATGTGTGTGTTTTTTATAAACTGTTGGTTCTTATTTGGTATTTTTTTAGATTGTTTGCATATGTTCAAAAAAGATACCGGCCTGTACACTTTTCTTGTAATGACTTAATCTAGTTTTGCTGTCAGAGTAGTACTGGTCTCAAAAAATTAACTGAGAAAGATTCTCTCTTCTTGAATAGCTGGGAGAGTTTGTATGTAACTGGTAATACATATATATATACACATTTAATTCTGGGAAATTCATCAGGGCAGCCATCTGGAATTGATATTTTCTTATGGGAAAGTTTTTAAATTACAAATTAAACTTCATTCCTTCAGACAGGCCTACTTGGGTTATGTATCTGTACATGAGTGAGCTTGAGAGTTCATATTTCAAGGAGTTTTTTCACTTCATCTAAGTTGTCAAATGTAATGGCATAAAATTATTCATATCATTCCCTTCTCATCCTTTACATTATTAATGATGTCACAGTTCCCATTCCTGATGTTGGTGGTTTCTGTTTCCTCTTTTACCGGACCCATCGCCCTAGAGAATGTGAATGTGTTGATCTTCTCAACTTGGTTTTCAGGAGAAGACTAGCACACAAATGTGGTACTATTTAGTTAATGTTAAATATGATTCACTTTTTTAAAGTGTGAACCTAATTAGATACATGAAAATATTGTTCTTTTTCCTCATAGAAATATTAAAATAACTTTTTTTATTAGTCTTTAGGAAGCTATATATCACCTTACAGATTTTGTTACATATCACTTGTCACCTAAAAATTACAGGATTATTTAGGAAAGAATGATACCCTCAGTTTATATACATACATCTATATCCAGACGCACATATGTATACATGTCCAACACACACACACACACACACACACACACACACACACACACTCAGTGTCCCTGATCTTTTCCTGTTGGCCTTGCTCGCCTTGTATCCCGTCGATTTCTGCTCTAGTCGCTCATTATGCACTTGCTTCTGATTCCTGTGTGATCCATGTGCCCTTCCTGTTCTCCATCCCTACAATCCAAGCTGTGGTTTAAGGCCTTTTGACCTCTAACGGGGATATTCAGTGATAGGAGCCGTATTCTAAGAACTGCTTTAACCGCATCCCATAGAGTCACATTTCCCTGTTCTTGCCGCGCACAGCACTTTCTCGTTTCCCGGGACCACGTCTCTGATCCGTGGGTTACTTAAAAGTTTCCAAATATCTAGGGATTTTCCAAGGATCTTGGTGCTCAGAGAGAACACTTTACATTACTTCACTTCTTTTGAATTTATTGATCATTATTGTCTGGCCTAGAAATGCTTTATCTTGGCAAACACGTCGCGTACCTGGAAGAGAACTCACATTGAGTCACATTTGGGTGGAGAATTGTACAGAACGCCTATTAGAGCGAGTGGGTGATGGAGTTCTTCAGGTCGTTAAGACCCTCGTGGGCATCTTGCCACTCACTCTGTCACTGAGAGAGCTGCACGGATCTCCTGCTGGAATTGTGGATTTCTCTGGCTCTAACCATAGTTACCTGTTTCTGCTCCGTGGATTTTGAAGCTGTTTTATTAGGTACATGCTTGTTTGAAATTATGTCTTTTCAAGAAATTCACGTCTTCAGTACGGCAAAGTGCCTGTCTTTACTCTTGATAGCATCCATTGCTCTGACATCAGCTCTGCCTTGTCTGAGCATACCACTCCAGCTTCCTTTTGATATTGTTAGTGTGGCCATGCTATATGCAGACACTAATATCTGCTCTTGCACTCAATCTGTTAAACTGCATTTTTGGGAGGGTTAAAATATTTTTAAAAACTTTCTGCCCTCATGTACTGCTGAAAAAGGAATGAATATTTTAATAGCCTTTCAAACAGTTATGCTTATTCATATTTAAACTACCATAAAAATTGACAAATGATACCCACTTAAATGTTACCTGCAACGTGGAGTTAAATCACCACAATGAACATTAAAGTGTGCTCCTCCAGCTTCCACATTGAATCAAGGCTTTATCCACGCATGGTCTTGTACCACCACGCACGGGCCATTCTCTCAAATGTTCGCGTATTTCAGAATATAATAGCAACAGCGTCGCATTTATTAGCATGGCTATACAGGGGGACCTCAGTTTGCGAACTTAATTCGTTCCGGAAGGCTGTTCAACAAACCATTTATCCGAAAATGGAATCGTTTTTTCCTGATTAGAAATAATGTAAATTGAGTTAATCTTTCCCAGACTCCAAAACGATGCCGTTTTAACCTTATATATAGTACGTGTCTCATGTGCTGTTTAATCTATAAATAAGCGCTTCTTTTCTTAAATGTATCGAACCGCCCCCACTCGCCTTAAATAATCTCTTTCAGCACCAGGCCCTCGTGCAGCATCGTCGTTTCTTTCCACGTCGCTGCCTCCGAATGCTGCCGCCCGCTCCCTGCTTTCCCTTCACCCAAAGCAGCCACGGCTTCCCTGCCTCTTCTCTGGCTTGTGACCACTGTTCCCTCATACCCTTCGCAGCAGTAGCAGCCTTGGTGGCCCCTTTATGACTTAAAATTGTGCTAATCCTGGATTTCCCAGCAACAAGAGCACTCCCTCCTTTGTTCGTGGCCTGAGGGATGCTTTTTGCCCACTGAAGTTTCAGCATGAAAGGGTTGTCTGTCTGGTGGAAAACTGAAATTTGGGTCGACAACCGGGACATTGTTTTCTGAGAACAACTTAATTGAGAACTGAATTGTTGGAAACGGAGACCTTGGGGAAACAAGGTTTGAATGTATTTATCAGAAAACTTTCTAGTGCTTGGTCCCTAGCACCTGGGCAGGTGTGAGGTTGCTGTCAGTTTCGCTCACCCTTGCTTCTGTGCCATAACACATGGAAGAAAGCACGGGCCTCTTAGTATTGTTATCAAAATGCCACACCCTCCGAGAAGGCCCCACGCCCCACCAGGGATCTGTGGGCCACACTTAGAGAAGAGGTGCACTCCACACTCCACCTGGGAGTTGACTCCATCGGAATAAAAATTATTGTTGGAATTATAAGGAGAAAGAACGCATGAAGAAAGTGTTAAGGTAAAAAAACAGCAACCACAACAAAAACATTCAAACCTGTAAAGAATTTTGTGAGTTTATTTGAGCCAAACTGTCAGCAATTACCAAGAAGCAGAATCTCAACGGATAAGGGTAATGCTCTGGAGAATGGCGGTTTTTTACCTTGTTTTTATAAATTACCATCGAAGGAGGAGCCGTACATGGGTGACAGGAACTCCATTGGTGATGGATTGGGGGGTGGGAGAAAGCAAAGCGGGAAAGCTCTGGGATTGGGTAAAAGTGAAATGATGGACACGAGCTTCTGAGGTGGGTGCAGGGCAGTTAGTCAACAGTGAACATGGTAACATCACAAGGAGGCAGTCTGGGGTCCCCATGGTGCCATTGGTTGCACGCTGAGGGGCCCGAAAAAGGGAAGTTACAAGTTACCTGACAGCCCACAGGTGTGTTATCTTAGATGCAGAAAGACTAGGCTCCATAAAGATCCTTGTTGATCTTTGTCAGGGAAGATGCTGGCCTAGGACATAATGACCCACCATCACTGCTTTTCGTTAAATGTTTAATTTCAGACTATCCCGCGTGGTCA